TTTGCATCCATCTTTAAGATGGATGCTTTATATGTTTGGACCGCATATTGTAGAAATGCGGTCCAGCCCGCATTAAACAATTTTCTTTAAATATAGCTATGTTTCTGTCTCTGACTCTTATTTTGCTTTGCTTCTATCATTGCAAATATGAATCACCACTAAGCAAGTTGGGGGCTTTTATAATTGGTCATGCTTATGAGGAGGCATGGAGAGGACCCGTTTAAAAAACTTACTCTTTTTATTTTAATGGCTAATGCTTGGTTTTGAGTCTCTGGTGTTCTTGGCCCTTCGGTTATAATGGCTCCTAGTCTCTCTTAATGTTGTTTTTTTTAGATAGAGAAAGAGTTAGAGAAAGAGAGGGCAGAGAGAGCAGCCAACCCTGAGACTGTTATTAATGTTTTCTTGCCCCCGTTTAGGCTTTTGGGTTTGGAGCGAGAGAATGAGAGATGTTTGATAATTTAGGGTTAGGGTTGGGGACTTGAACTTAAACCATATATATTCAACACAAAAAAAAATTTAAACCATATATAACTAGTAGTACTAAAATGGGTCGAGTATCTATTGGGTCAGGCATAATTGGACTTAGACCTAAACGTAAGATTGATCAAGTATCAATTATTGGACCCAGACCTCTCTGTGGGTCCAAAACTTGGACCTATACCCCGGGCTGTGTAGAATACACCTGTCGGGTCTCGGATTGGTTCTGGGTCCATTGCGAGGCCTATTATGCTTTAAAGACAGTTGGGTCAAGGGCGGGTTTTATAATTTTCGCAACAAATTACCATGCCCCCAAATCCAGCACTACAGCTTAAAAACGAATGCGTTTGACTTGTTGGCACACGTGTCTTATCACAGGAAAGCTTAGAGTAGAAGACACACTTCCCTTGCATTCCCAAACCATCGCCAACAACCAATGGACCCCTCCACCCGCTCACTCTTTCTTTCCCTCAATTTTCTGTTCCTTGTCTCCGAGATACTCCAACTAAAACAGGCTGTCTGTCTGTTTCAACGTTAAGAAAGATCGGCCACACCATCCCAAATTTAAAAAAGAACATGTATGTATGGTGGAGTAGAAAAGCATATTATAATAAAGGGCGCGGTTTGTCTAGAGAATAAACTTTTTTTTATAAATAAATGAAGAAAAAGTTTATATCGAGCCGAAGCTCTAATCAATCAAATTAGAGCTTACCTCAAAATTTTAATTAGAAGAGGTTGTTTTGATGTTAAAATATTATCAAATTAACTGTCTCGACATCAAGATGCATGAACATAAACAAAAAAAAGAAAAAGATTTTTAATTTTGAAAATAGTATATCTTGTAATCCTCAATTTTCAAGTTTTTCTATTTAATCTACACTTCTTTTTTGAAGATTTAAATGTGATAATTAAAAATAAAAATATATTTTAAAACATGACAAGGATTTTCAATATTAAAACTACATTTCTCAATTTGAAGGTGGTGCGCTTTAGTTCGATGGTTTAGAACGACGGCGTATTTCTCAACACTATTTGGAAGTGCGCTAACCTCGGCTTATGACCGATGAACCGTGCAATCCGCGACGTGTATTAACGAATACTTGTGATACTTGTGATGAATAGTGGAATCCCCACCCAATAAACCTAGTCTTGGCAAGAAGACGATGTGCGACGGCTCCTCGCTCACTCCCTTTCGCCGGCAACAAAGAGAGCGAGAGAGTTGGGAATCATTTGAGCAGGTGGGTCTGGCAAAGGTAGAGTTTGGGGATCATTGCATGTAGAGTTCAGGGATCATTGAGAGAGAGAGAGAGAGAGAGAGAGAGAGAGAGAGAGAGAGAGAGAGAGAGAC